CATTGTGACCAGGATTTCCCCCGCACCAACTTTGTTTACCTTTGGCAGGAACTGATCAAAGGCCTGACAAAGCTGAGTTGAGAAATAATATCCTGATCCTCCTGAAGCAGTGGAACTGGCAGAGGTTTCCCCAGAGATGAGTGTGAAGTGGAGAGTCCAGGTGTATCCCACTAGCTCAGACTCAAAGAAAAGAGAACAAAGGGCTGAGCATACCCTGAGGTCCTACACTAAGGTGTCGGCCCTTCGGGCTGCAGAACACCAAGACCCCCATATTTGCACATGAACTGGTATGGCATGGAGAAAGATGGAGTAAACACTTCCTGGCTTTTATCTTTCCTTTTAATACTAACCCACTAAATCCTAAGGCTTTATTTCCCTCCCCTCAAGCTTTCTCTGTTAGAATCTCCAAACCCAGGCTGCCCCAGGGGTAGTTTTGAGGGCTTCTCTTGCCTCCATACTGGACAGTGGTAAAGGGTCAAAAGTGTAGTCATGGGCCAGAGCGATATTACAGCGGGGAGGGCGTTTGCCTTGCCTGCGGCTCACCCAGGTTCAATCCTCAGCATCCCATATGGTCCCCCAAGCACCGCCAGGAATAATTGCTGAGTGCAGATCCAGGAGTAACCCCTGAGTATCACTGAGTGGGATCGAAAAAGAAAAAAAATGTGTAGTCATGTTGGGCTTTCAAGAATACTGAGCCACGGGCCCACATTTGAATTTAGACAGAGTGTTAGTTCCCCCATGAGATGGGAATGACCTATCCAGATCAAGCCAGGGCAGGATGAGACTATAAATACCTCGTATGCAGAGACTTCCCAGTGCCCCCTTTTGTACTCAAGAGGCAATACCCTCACCCTCACCCTATGGCCATAGGAGGTCCCTTCTAGCCTGTGGGTAGAGGGTGAAAGAAGCTGAGCTTGGTTCAGGGATGTAATAAGAAGAAGCTGAGAATAGAGTGGGGGATTCTAGCTTTAAAAGACCAGAGCAGAAGGGACTATATTCCCAGTGGGCAGAGTTGAAAGCCATGTACCCACTTACACACTTGACATGGAAGAAGTGAAAACATTTCTAATTCCTGGGCAGTGCTTGTTGGCCTGGAAATTTAGTCAGGGGCTTGGAGACTGGGACAGAGAGATGTACGGGAGAGGCATGTGGCTGGGCACTGGCTGTGGTTGCCAACGCTAAAGAATTTTGTTATGCGTGTGAATATCCCCCAGAAAATTTGTACCAGGGATGGGGCCTGAAGGGACCAAGTACACAAAGTGACGTAAACTAATTGACACAAATCAGAATGTTACAGGCCAACTCAGAACCAGCATGATTGACATGTGTATATAGCAGCCCTTTTCCTGCGGGCAGATGCAGCCTCCAGGAGAACCACTTCGTGAAAGGTGGATGGAAGACACCTGTGATCTGAACATGACACCGACTCAGAGCCATCAGCTTCATAGAACGCATGAGCAGCCTTCTAAAGGCACAGCACAAGGACTGTGCGTGGAGGCAATTTTCTGCAAGCAGAGGCTATAACACTTCAAGATAAGGTATTAAACCTGAGACTTGGATCGAGTGCTGTGCATTCACTAGGGAGACTGCATGCATCCTGACATCAAGAGATAGAAGTGGGGTGGCCTCACTCACCACCCAAGGGGGAAGTTTGTGCTTCCTGTCCCAATTGGGCATTGCAGGAGGCATGTTCATACCGAGAGACACAGTCGAACAAGCAAGAGCTGCTTCCGAGGTCCTTTGAGCTGCTTTGCCTAGGAATGAAGAGGTTAGGTGAAGGGTCACTGCGTGGTCTCCAATAACTGACTCTCATCGCTAGGAGGAAAGTGTGTTGCTTAAAACAACGGGGAAAAGCAGGAATGTGTGGAAGATCCACTCAGGTGCCTCTGGCTCCGTCCCTGCCCCACCGAAACTGCCTAATCAACTGGTCCAGTCACATTCCATGAAGCGTGAGATTACCTCAAGGACACTGCTTCATTCTACAAATGTCACTTTTCCCAAGTTTTTGACACAGAAATACAAGCCGCTCCTCCAGTGAAGGTGAAGAGGTTGACTTTTGGAGTCTAAGCAGGTCATGGATAGCAGAACACATATCTGGTATTTCCTGTCTCAGGGAGCATAACAGACTCTGGATCAGCTGCTCGGTTCTAAATCCATGTACCTGAGAACTAATTTGCTTCCTTCTTTCTTCCCTCCATAGTTTCCTCTTTCTTATCCTTCATAGGGTCTGACCCGAAGGATCTACGAGATCCTTCTCAATTTTCATTCACTAACATTTACCTTAAAAACAACACACAAGTCATTGAAAAAAAAAAAACATTTACCTTAATCACTCGCATTCACCAGATGAATCGCTTTCATCTATCTAATCCCACCTTCATGTTTATTTAATGATGTATATATGCTGGTGGATGTCTAAAGCAGAGAGGCCAACTCGTCAGCCTAGTGACTGCCAGGAGTGCTGAGCAGAGACAGATTCTAAAACTGTCTCTGATCCATTCCTTATGATGGTGGAAAGAATGCCACAGTCTGTTGACAGGTGTGCCATGAGGGGAACCCTGTAGGACCTTCTGTTAGCTGCTCCTGCTGAATCAGGATACTCCCACTGTCTCTATCAAGAAGAGTCATATTGAGGGGTACTGCATTTGAAACATGTTTTTAATGAAAACATTTTGAGGAGGCCCACACCCAGTGTTGCTTAGGGCTGACTCGACGAAGTGCTCAGGGATTGCTCTCAGTAGTGTTCAGGGGACCGTGCAGTGCCAGGGGTCAAACTTGGGACTCTTTCATGAACAGCACATACCTCAGTCCCTTGTGCTATCTCTCTAACCCTTTGATTTTCAAAAAAAGTTAAAAGGGGTCAGCAAAGTTCAAAGGAAGGGGGACCAGCACCCACCCTTGGCAATGCTAAGCCTGATGCCTCCCATCGACAGTTTGGCACTTTAACCAGTGGTGCTTAGACACTCCTAGGACTATGTCCAGCAGTGCCCACAAGGTATAAGGTAAAGGTAAAGGCCCTCCCGTTGATCGTCGATTTGCTCGAGCGGGCCCAGTAACGTCTCCATTGGAGATTTTGTTGTTACTGTGTTTGGCATATCGAATACTCTCGGTAGCTTGCCAGGCTCTCCGAGAGGGGCGGAGGAATGGAACTCGGGTCGGCCATGTTGGCCGCTTGTAAGGCGAACGCACTACCGCTGTGCTATCGCTCCACAGCTGGGCTGGAGCGATAGCACAGCGGTAGGGCGTTTGCCTTGCACGCAGCCAACATGGCTGACCCGAGTTTGATTCCTCCGTCCCTCTCGGAGAGCCCGGCAAGCTACCGAGAGTATCTCGCCCACACGGCAGAGCCTGGCAAGCTCCTCATGACATATTCACAAGGTATAGGAGATCAAGTTAGGGGTTGAACAGGTGAGGCAGGTGCTCTGTAACTTGAGCTTCTCCTCAGACAGTGTGTGAAAGTTTTGTTAATGATAAACTGATAGTTTCATGATGATACTGAGAATTTATCTGGTAGACCAAATGAATAATATTATGACAATGATTATCCTTAATAATATTGACAGAAAATTATATAATAAAATGATGCAGTGTGGGCCACTCACAAAACAATGCAGCTCAGGCTGGTGGTGCTGCTCAGAGCCTGGACGTATTTCCTGGTTACCAGAGTTATCCTCAGTGATGCTCAGGGGTTACTGATGTGCCAGGAATCAAACTCAGGGCCTGGGGCATGCGAGGTATGTGTTCCCTGGCCCCATGGTGTTTTATGATGATCTTGTATAAAAGGAACCTTTCTTGTATTCACCCAGAGTGAACGAACAAAACCATGTTTCTGAATCACAAAAAACTGAGGGCCCACAACTGTCGCTTCCCATGCCTCATGAATCTTCGTGTGTCGTATTTTCATTAAGTCTTTTATAAGGGCAAACATTACACTTGGGGAAAAACATGTCCTAGATACCATAGGATACCTAGATACCTCACAGGATACAGGAGACCATAATGGGAGATATGGAACTTACGGATTATTCACATAGATATTCCTTGAAAGAGAACATACAAATCTTTTGGGAAAGTACTTCCTGGAAGTACTTGCAGAAGACATACAAGGAGGTATCTGGGAAGAGGCTGGACATGTGGTTCATGTGGAGAGTCCCTGGGTTTGATCTCTGGCACTGAAACAAACACAAGTCCCAGGTTGGCATGGAAATGCTCCTACTACATTGAGATGGAGCTCCATGCCTTCATGACAATGCAGCTTCATGTGTCCAAGTGCTGCGACTCTTAGGGCACATATTTCAAGGTCTTAAAATGGACTGCATGGATTTAGTTATTATGATATTCTGGTATGTGATGATGTCAGATTGTCCCAGTAAAGTTGGATTTGCGCTTTCTGTCTTCATTTTACAGGTGGGATGGAACTTTTTTTGTTTTCCTTTTTAGCTTTGGGTCTCATCCAGCGGTGTCCAGGGCTTTACCTCAGACTCTTAATTCAAAGATCACTCCTGGTGCTGCTGGGGGATTATATCTGGAGGTTTTTCATAGTGTTGGGATGCAAGGCAAGTACCTTAACCACTCGCTGTATTATCTTTCCAGCTTCTGGAGCGGAAATTTTCTTGAACTATTAGCCATTGGATCTTACATATCAGTTGAGTTGCTAAAGAAGTTTTGAAGATATATTTGCTCCTATGCATGTTAGCTCATGATTCGACAGAACAATAAAACTTTGCTAATGAAATCATAAATAGAGACACACTACTGGTACATTTTTGATCACTTCAGTGTGCTTATTTCCAGTCCTACCAGGTCTGCTTTTTATAGATCCACTATAAACTGGATTTTAGAAAGCCAAGCAGTCGAAACTTAAATTCCCAAAGATGCCACACACTTGGGAGGCACAATGAAAATGACATAGTGAGCAAACAGAGTAATACCAACTCTTGGTAGTTACGAAGACCCACTAGAACTGCCCTGCTTTCTGAAAAATAATTAAGAATCCAAAATAATCACACATAGAAACCAGTTTATTAGATTGTCAGTGATACTTTGAGACAAATTCAAGTTGTTTTATTTTACTTCATATAAATAAGAGGAGGGGAGGATAGTTTAAACTTCAAGCTTTGTTCAGCATGTGCGCAGTTAGCATCCACAAAAGCACCATTGGGTATGAAAGAATTAGCACCACAGAAGTTTAGGACCTAACTGTTAACATGCATCACTGAAGAACTTGGAACATGAAAACTGTAGTGTTCATGGTATGATCTCTCATAAACAATACAAGGCAATTTATGATTTGTTTCCATACAGTACAATACAATCACCAATCAATGAGAACCTTTAAAGTACAACACAGGACAGAAAACACTTTGTACCCTGTTAACACTAAAGCAGTTACAGATTTAAAAATGTGTTTCTTATCAGAGACAGCGGGTTGAAATGATCCCTTCTCCTCTACTTTTAAATTCAGAGTTGAATAGTTACATGATCTCTTAAGAAAGTATTTTCAAAACTATGTTTTTCTACCTCAATGCTGACAAGTGGATTTTTTTCTTTTTTTGAAAATGGAAAGGCTTGATGAATTCAAGATAAAAGAAAAGGAAAACCTGATAGAGTCAAGATGTACTCCGGTGTGGTGGAAGATATTCCACATGAGAGCAGTTTGAAAATGATGCCAATGGTGTTGATAACTGTCTTCATTTCCGTGGACGAATGTCAAGTACAGAAGCCTTGCATTCACGATGAACTTTGGTTAATTTCTTTCACCAAATGCCATTTTTTTCTGAAGTATAACATGAGAGACTTATTCCTTATTCCTCAACTGTTTTTGTGGTGTCAAAAGGCTGTTCCTTATGCTGGATTTGACAACAGTGAAAAGGGTTGATATTCTCTCTGGATTTAGGGTAATTTATGAGCTAAAGAAAAAATATTAATTTAAATTTAGCACATATGAAATCTTAAAGGGAGTTTTAGAATTTTTCCCAGTATAAACACATAATGAATAAATAACACTGAAAACCTTTCTGTTAGAAAGCATGTAACAAACCCTCAATTTAAAGTTGTGTCTGGACCAATTTTGGCATGGTAGAAGATACAGTATAAGAAATATGAATAAGACTAGATAGATACAGGTATATTCAAATCTCAGTGCACTGGTACCAAGAAAAAATATTTTTACTCACCAAGAGAAGAATATACCTTGAAGCATCTATGCAGACACATGAATCAATCATGTATCTACCCAATTTCTAATTCTGGAATAGTGATAACAGGGTCGTTCAGGAAAAAGTACTCACAGTACGGCAGCGATTTAATGTTGTATATATTAAACAGCAAAACATTTTTGAAAATAGAATTGGTTCTATACGGTCAGTTTACAATTCACCATTTCTATACTTGAAATACATGCATTTATTTGTTTTCCCAGTTTTAGAAAATCTCACTAGGACCAACATCTTTCAGAACAACAATCTAACATGAAACAAAACCTCCTATAGAAAATATTTAGCATCACAGAGGTTTGAAAAAATTGTTATTCAGCATCACAAAATACTCAGTAGAGCTACATTAATGATTGTTCATGCCATGACATTAACACACCTTTGGGTTAATAGATATTATTTGTTATTTAAAAAAGAAAACAAAGAAACAAACCAAAGAACTGACATGGAATTTGTCTTTAATCTCTTCTTGGTAACAGAAGACTTTTAATCTTAACTCTTTTCTGTAGCATGTACTAATGACAGCATCTATGAAGCAGAATTTACACTTATTAAAATATTTAAAACTGCTCATAGAAAAATGGCCACCAATGAGAAAGAATGAATAAGTGAATTTAGAAGGAAATAGATTTTCGTTTTCAGTAGATGCCCGAATATGAAGAAGCAAGTTTGATAAAAGTCAGCTTAACCTATGTTAGAAAGACATGAGGTCTAACTTAAGACAAAGTTGAACTTTTGAAAAAAGTATTATTCTATGCTTTTTCTGCTGAATCAAATTGTATGAAACTGCTACACAAAGCAGCATGTTCACACTACTGATTTAAATGAGATAATTTAGCAGGCATGACTGACTTAAGATTATAATAAATAAAACTATTTTCTTAATATTTTAGGATTACATGAAAAAAATCAACAAAACCAAAATTAGTTTTGATTGCTCTTATACTTGATCAACACTTCAACACAAGTGAGTACTGATTAAAACTAAGATTTAAATAATCTGTCTAAAACTTTTCAGTGAAAACATCCCAAAATTTTCATTTTTAACCTCAAATGATTGCAGACTAATTGGACTCAGAGTTTTGCAACGATCACATTAACTTTTGTTACCCTTAAAATTTATTTCTGTACTATTCATTGGCTATAGTACATAACTTAACTTTTTGCTAAGCTGGAAGTCTGAGTTATCACTTCATAAGAAGTTTTAGAAAAACAAATAAGTAGAATAAATTTATAAAAGGATAAGGAATATGGGAATTTAGGCAAGTTCTATACAAATAGCTTGTTCAAGGTAATAAAGTGCCTTCATTTCCACGTAATCTATTTTTTACTAAAACATTTTAAGGCTTTTATAAGAAACCTAACATCAAAAGTTTGATACTATATTATATAGTTGAAACCATTAATCAGCACAATTTCATATTTTAATCCATGTTAGATATTTTTGATAATTAGCAGCTTAAAATTATAAAATAGAATTGTAAGTTCTGAATTTATTTTGTGAGGAAAGGGGAAGGTGGATAATTTCCAAGTGCTGTACATATGACTGAAATGTAACTTCTAGTGAACAATCTAGTTTATGTCATAATACACAGCAGTCAATACTAAAAAAAGTAACAGAATACTTAGTCCCATGGCAAACAAGGCCATCACGTCGTTCATGCATATATTCTGTTATCGTCACATTTTAAATGATTGTGCAGCATTAAATGAAAAAGGACACAGACACTCTAAGATAAGTTCTTCAAACGCAGGCACAGAGAATTTTTTTTATTGCAATAGTTTATGCATAATGCTTTGATGTCAACATCTAATATTAAAGCAGTTAAATTTGTTTTCCTTTTGCTTATGCTACCCAGGGATGTATCACAGTAAATACTGGTAACCTAATAGAAATTTATATTGCAGTGATAATCAAAGGAAAATTTATTTCTTCTTCGTCATTTCTCCTTGGAAGACAGAGAGTATGTTAAGCATAGTTGCGTACTTATTTTGTCAGAACTAGATCTTTGATAAATTCTGGTGATATATACATCACTCAATTGGCTATAATCAATAAAAAGAAATAAAATGTTTTAAAATGCTTTCTCAGAATTTCAGTTATTTTGGTCAAAAGAATCACTAAAGTCAGGCACAAGATCAAATGGTCATAACACTTAAAATGCTTCTCTAGTATCCACTGGAGTAATGTCCTTAAATGAAAGGTTTCTGAGATTAGGATGGAGGAGGAAAGCTAACATTCATTGCAATAATAGTTTTAATCAAATATTCCATATAATTAGAAAAGCAGGAAATATCAGCAGAAAAGAAAGTGCCAGTCTTAAAATTTGTCTTGAATCTGAAGTCTAGTAAAAGTAATTTCTGGAAATTAAAAACAAAATAAAACAATATAAATGCTATAATTGCACATTTCTTTACCAAAGTGCCACAAGTGACTACACTTAAAAAAATAGCACACGTAATATAAATTTTCTAAAACTAGGTTATACCTAGTAAAGTCAAGTCCTTTTCATGATGCCATAGTATGTCGTTTCACAAAGTTAACACAAATATATGTAGGAAGATGAACCATAACTTTCTAAAAATAGTATAGCATTGTGTTAAAATATAACATGTAAGAACCTTAGTCTTTATGAAGATATAAAGCCAAACATAGCCAAAGTAATTCCATGAAAATCTGAAAACTACAAGGAAATTTTAGTAATTATTTTGTAATGCAGAGATGGCATATGCCTTTTAAAAGAAGCATCAAGCTTAGTTATCTTGCTTTTAAACTGACTACATTTTATACTTACTCTCTTCAATCACTGAAGTGATAATTTTTGAAAATAGTATTGGACACAGAGGATCTAACCTTACTTGGTCATTCTGTGTAAGCAGAACAAAAATGTTATTAATTTCTATGCTTCTAAGTCCTTATCCTCAATAAAAAAGCCAAATGGAAATGCATAGAGATAATGCAATCATATGAGAAACAAAACAATAAGCAACTGTGGGGAAGTTCTCCATACGATTCAATTTGGTAAATCAGAGGAAGACTGTATGTAGAACATAAAAAAATGTAATTTAATTATGTAAATTAATTTGCATTGATAATTATATGAGTATCGAATCGAACAGTAACAACAAAGTCTCCAATGGAGACGTTACTGGGCCCGCCCGAGCTCGAGCAATTATATGAATATGATAAAAAGAAATGAAATACACTCAGATTAAACTTTAAATATCACCACCCCACCCCTATCTTTTGAAGAGCAAAAGCAATCCTAGGGGAACGAAGACTGGAGTCATCACTTTGCCCAACTTTAAACTGTATGACAAAGCTGTAGTAATTCGAACAGCATAGTACTGGAATAAGGACAGACTATCAGATCAGTTGAACAGAACTGAAAACCCAGAGACAGATCCTCAAGTATATGGACAGCCAATCTTCAATAAAGAAGCAATGAGATATGCTTTATACCCGATCAGTAATACTATTGTAAACCACAGTGCCTAAAAGGAAAAAAGAAAAAAGGGAAAAAGGAGCCTGCCAGAGAGACAGATTGGGTGACAGAAGGGAAACTGGGGACATTGTGAAGGGAAGTGGTCACTGGTGAGGGGACTGGTATTTATTTGAAGATTGTATCCTTGGAAGTCAATCATGAATTGTTCTGCAATTCTGTAATTCCTGGCAAGTCAATAGATTTTTATTTAAAGAGGAAAAAAATGAAGTAGAGCAAGGAAAGCCTCTTCAACAAGTGGTGAAGTGGTGTTGGGAAAACTGGCTGACAAAAACAAAAACAAAAAACAAAACCTCGGACCCCTTTCTAACACCATGCACAGAAGTCAAATCAAAAATCAAAATGGATTGAAGACACTGATATTAAACCTGAATCCCTAAGTTGCCTGAGGATAACATAGACCCTCATGATGCTGAAGCTAGAGGTATCTTTAAGGAGTCAACCCATTGCCCGAGCAAAGAGAAACTAGATAAACAAATGGGACCATCGTTTCTGCTTCATGCAATAACCAGAACAATATAAAGATTTTACAATCCCTCTTGCTAATACACAGATATTTTCTTGACTTTGCAGGGTGAGATGACCGTATTTACCCAACTTAACTCTTCTAGCAGTCTTATGGCTATGGCATAAATACTGAACACAGGTGCTGGAGAGACTGCATCTCAGGGATGGAGCTTGCCTTGCATGTGACCTGATTCTGGTTTGATCCTGGCTTCTGAGCACAGAGCGAGGAATAGGTCCTGAGCAATGCCGATTGCTGCCCAAACATTCCATCTCCCCTCAAGTACTGAGCATACCTATGAGAACCATTCCTATCATATCATTTAACCCCATTCTCTATTATTTAACACTTTTACAGCACTTTTTGTTTTCAACCACTCCACAATGAGTTATACTCATAATTTCTCATTTTATCCCAATTGGGAGATAAAGTTAATAAATTTATCGTGGAGCTACACAAGGTCTTAAAAGATCCTATGTAGCTTTTCTGCTGTATAGGAGATTACCTAGAAGAGTCCTGTGCTATTTTATCTACACCATCCTCAGGATCAAAGACTGACTCTCATCTGCTGTATAGATCTAGACCTAGGAAAGCGTTTAGTATATGCTGTATGTAAATGAATGTGCTGATTAAATGAGTGAGAGTGAGATGGAGGAAACAAGATATAAACCTCTAAATATCACCCT